ACGAAAAAAGGTCAAACAACTTCTTGTTTTAAGAGTTGGCTGGATTGACTTTTAGCCAATGGGCTCTTATGAGTTAAACGAAAAGCCTAACCAGTTGCTGTCAATCATCGACTGGCCTTATAAAGAGACAATTATGAGCTGCTGATCAATTTTTCGAGAATTTCTTAAGAGATTACTTTGCTACTAAAATATTAAATACTTTAACTACTTTGTTTGCCCTCTGCCATCTGATGCATCGTTTTTGGGTCCTGCCTTCAGCTTTGTCGTTTTGGTCAAATACACTTGAAATATCTTTATTGGCAGCTGCTTGTTCGGTTCCCTGGACATCTCATACTTCACTAGCATGCAATGCTTCGCTTTCTCGAAATCGAAGAGAGCCCCTCGATCCAAAGCCTATGTGTCCAGCTTACGTATTGATGTCACGTAGCGTTACCAACCCCCACAATTCACCTTCATCATCCTACACTACCTTGTTTCCAACTACTTCATCACCCTCGGTCTCGTCTTCATCCTTACATTTGTATTCTCAACCAAACACGGCTCTTGACTCGCCATCCGATCGAACTTGTCTTGACTTTATTGGCCAGCCGCTACTCCGCGGACTTGTATATCTCTTATTCGTGGGAGATGCGCCTCCATCAGACAAGACAAATGCAATTGATAGAAACATCTTTAAATTATCTTCGCGAATGCATATCCGAGATCTTGAGTTTCAGGGCCTTGAAAATGTCAAGCTGATGCAAGGCTATCACTTCAGGGTCTCACCTTTTCAAGACATAGATCCTATAGACGACGAGGGAGGCAAGTTGAAAGCTAGTTTTTGTCTTGGCTTCGAAAGCATTCTAATACGAGCAAACTTGGAATATCGCGTACTCGTTACAATGAAGCAGGTAAGATTGGTTATTTTGAAACCATTTAAGAAGCTGAAAATGAAATATTATTATGATTCCTAATATGACCCTCTGGTAAAATACATAATAAAGGTACGCTGTATTTGCTCCAAGTGGGAATTTTGCTAGAAGTATCGCTGGGCCGACAAGTTGAGTCGCCTTTTTTGGGCGGTGGCCCAATATCCTTTTTCTTCTTCGATCTTCCAATCAAACAACTGCTTTTTTGAAGAAGTGGGGACCAAGATGGTCCCCATATTCAATATACTACCTAGTCTACTAAGTTCAATAGCCCATCTAATCTTTATTTTCGTAAACGACACAATAATCAGCAAACATGTGTGGCTAAGACCATTATACTTCATGCCCAGTCTACACCATGTGTTCCGAACAAAAGCAGCATGTGCTGGTTTCCTATAAACATGTCTGCCTAAGTTACCATCTGCCCTAACAACCAAAACATCAGAAAGGTAATCACCTAGTCTCTCCTAATTTCCTTGCAAACTTAATATCTATTTCATGAGAGTTAAGTGAAAGTGTAAAAGTAACTAAACTGTACTAACCACAAACTACTCATCACGAATTATACATGTTATGGTCATTAGATAAGATGGGAAGTTAAAGAAGTTTAGAGGAAACCAGTAAATGCTACCTTTATTTTTGCTTTTATTTATAGTCATAGTTAGAAAACTAAGGTTGGAATTTTAATGTCTATGCTTGTTAGGAGTATGAGGCTTGCAGATGGAAGTCATCTGACCGAGGGGTTAAGAAGACTGAAGCATTTATTCCTGGAAAATACGTATCATTTATGCCTAACTGATAATAACATCTCTTTAATTTGGAATAAATTTGCAGACAGATTATTTGGTCAAAGATAGGTAAGCTGATACGCTTTCTCGTGTCCTGATTGTGTCATCATGCATTCTTTTTAAAAAGATAGATTAGCTAATGAGGAAGAGGGTATAAAAACATTCTTCAAAGGAACCCTGACACTTTCTTCGGTTCTCCCTTCTCTTAGAGAGAAATATGACCCATTATCAAGATCCGGCTGTTAAAACATTGTATGTTCCTGTCGTCAACCTTATGTCGATGAGACCTATCGGCCTATCCGCCAAAGATTAGCGGAGCATAAGAATACTTATAAGGGCAACTGGGTAGAAAGGTCAAAAGTGGCTGAGAGCAGGGCTTGGCCTAAACATGAGAGAGAGAGAGTAATCTCGGGGGCAAAGGTTTGCTGCTTATGGTATGTCGTCTACGAAACGCAAGTGGCAATTAAAATTAATAGATTATGGAATGTGAGGAATTTTGCCAGAAAGTTGAGTAGGAATTACTTATGCTTGCTTGACAGATTGGAGAAGAAAGGAGGTGTTGATCCACCGTCCACTCAACTTGTCAGTTGAATGACGATTTTCTCTAACTTTCCACTCGTTCAACAGGTATGTTAAGCCTATCCACCAAAACAGAAGTACGGGATTAAGCAATCCATGACATGCTTCGTCTTGGGTCAGTAAAAATTAGTGATCCCAGACTAACGGGTTATGTCTTGAGGTTTCGTAACTTGGCTTTCAGACGTACAGGCTTACATCAATTTAACGAGATTAGTTAGAGGACTTAGGCAATCTCAGTCATGCTTTTTTTTGGGTCATCAAGGCTTGAAGAAAAGGGAAGAGATACCTCAATCAGCTAGCAGAAAATTACTCAAGGCCTGGCCTTCGCGTATTTCTGACCAGTTATAGCTCAGAGCTAGTACTGGCGAAGCTCTTAGACGATAAAGACGAAAAGTCCAGATCATGCCGTCTCGATGTCACCCAACAGCATGAAAAGTTTCTAAAACGAGTTCAAAACTATTCTTCATTATAGTCGTAATTGAGTACGGTTTCGAGACTACCAGTAAATCAGT